AAGATGGCTTTCAAACCTCTTTAACTTGTATCTTTATTTCACGTACATATTGAAATTATTCCAATATCTCTGCCAAATGAAAAAAATGTCATCATCACATTTTCATTCAGTTGCAAATCGCTCGTCTTTTACCACCACTATTCACTTTGGCCTTCTTCGCTCGAGCCAGATATACTCAAAGAATTTAATGTACATACAACTCATATTGACTACACATTTACACTCGGGGTGTTTGGCGAGCATCGAAATGTGCTTAGAGGACAACTGTCCAACAGCAATCAATGTGTCTGCTCTGCTGCCCTCTACTATTGAGCAGAGCTAATTCACTTTTGTCTCGTATTACATGTCTTTTTATGGTTCGTACTAAGTCGGATTTCGCACCATTCTGACTTGTATCCATCGCTACCTGTCGGAAATTAGTTTTGAAATTCACCATGGATATTAAGACGAAGCAATGATATTATTCAAAACTCCACTTTTCCTATCTGTTTGCCCGAAATTCAGATTGTCATCTCTCTTGCTGAAGAACTTGCTCTCCATACTTCAGGCTTTCCGTCTATGCATCACCTTCTTAAGTCGCAAATTCGCTCCTCCCCGGCATCTTCGGGCTCTTCCTCTGCTCCTATTCGTCCTCATGCCATTTCATGCCTGGATCCTCGGTTCTCGCAGGCCTCGGAATCCACACTCCTACCGGCCTCTTTTGCCGACCAGCCAAGTTGCCGCCCAACTCTCAGTCAGCTCGACATATTCGGCCTGCTTGAAGGGATTCGACAGAATCGGCGCCACTACCAGACCGTCTGGACCCGGCTTGCCGGTCTCATGACCGACGGTCTCGTGGTGCTCGCCGACCTGCTTCCGTCTGTGCCTCGAGCCCGACCCGGTGGCCGGTAGCAACATCTGCGGCACAGATTTACAGTCGATTGGCCAGAATGAGCGGCTCTTTCGAAGATGGATACCTGTCTTCTCAACAACAGACTGTATGTCTGACTGGCCAACAGCTTCGGAGAGTTTCGGACGACTGGTTCGCTTCGAAATGCTCATTTGCGTCAAGAATGTAATTGTTTCAGACTATTCTTGAAAGCAAGATTCTGCACTTCCTTACAGCAAACGTAAACGTTAGCTGGTCAAACATCTGAAGCCTCTATAATACTAGAAGTCTGTTGCTTGGCTAAACTTGACCAACTTTTAGGCCTGACTCCAGAACACATATTTATAATCATATAATTACATATATATTAAACGAATATATAAAATATTCGTTGATTTAGGATTTGTTGTTAATCTTAGGCGCTGCTTACCCCATAAATATTGGTTCATTTTCAGCCGTCTTTCGAGTTCTCTGGCTGGGAAGGTGAATTGGCAAACTGTGCATCGACATGTTTATGTTGGCTTGATCAAAGGTATGATTTGTTAGATTGCATGGACTCTATTTTGATTGTAGATACGAAGAGAAACTGGGTTTCGATGAATCTCCTGAGATAACATTGTTAGAGGGACCTTCAT